AAAAAAAAAAAAAAAAAAGACACAGAATGAGAGGAATTGTGCACCAGGGGTTTGAATAGACATCTAACAACAGGTTGCTTATAATTTTTATCATGATGCCTTTAGGCAAATTACTTGGCATCTTGGAGGTTCAGTTTTTTCATTTGCAACATGGGGATTAAAATGCAATAATCTTCACAGGATTGCTGCTAGTCCAATTGAAAAAAAAAAAAGATGCATGTGAAAAATGTGGCACCTAAAGTACACCATGCACGGTGGTTACTGGGAGAACAGAGTGCGTGGGGCATAAATGAATTCTAAAATATGGCTGGGAAAATCAAGGGCTAGGGACCTTAAGGGTCTAGGAACCCTTGAATATAGAGGTGTTGGACCGTAAAGGTGCAGAGGAATGTGCATTCTGATGAGCCATGTAGACATGGATGAAATAGACCAGCGTGTCTGAACCCAAGGGACAGCTGGAGGATGTCTTTCTTCTCTATTTAAGAGGCAATGAGTTGCTTTTACAATGAGTCAATAAGATTGATTTTGGTCACATTTCTATGGCCCTGAGTAAGTTACTTCACCTTGGGATGCTCAGTTTTTCCCTCCCTAAAATGGGTATAAAAACACTGATGGCCACGTGTGGCAGCTCACGCCTGTAATCTCAGCACTTTGGGAGGCCGAGGTGGGTAGATCACGAGGTCAGGAGATTGAAACCATCCTGGCCAATGTGGTGAAACCCCGTCTCTACTAAAAATACAAAAAGTTAGCCAGGCATGGTGGCATGTGCCTGTAATCCCAGCTACTTGGGAGGCTGAGGCAGGAGAATCGCTTGAATATGGGAGGGGGAGGTTGCAATGAGCCAAGATTGCGCCATTGCACTCCAGCCTGGCGACAGAGCAAGACTCCGTCTGTAAAAAAATAAATAAATAAATAAAATAAATTAAAATAAAATAAAATAAAATAAAAAACAATACTGACCACACAAGTTGATCAAGGCCTCAATGAGATCCAGGGGTTGAGGCTAGCTCAGTGCTGGGCTCATATTATGTGCTTATGAGTGGTGGTTCTTTTGCTCTTTGTCAAAATGTATTTTTCACGCTGAGTATTAACCTGTCTAAGGAAGGACACTCACGGAGTGTCCCCTGCCTGTGCTGCACACTGCAGCTGATCTCTCCAGCCTCTGCATCTGACTTCATCTTCCTCGCCTCATAACCTGGGAGGTCGTTTCCATTTCCAACCCATGACAGGTCATTATTTTAGATTTCCATCCAATTAAATCTCCCCCTAAATTCATGGTCTCACCTCCCATTTCTCCAAGGGCACCTGTGTGGGTGGACATTGGAGTTCACAGTTGAAGTCAAACTGAAAACCATGTAACAGGGTCTTCCTGGCCCGCCTGCCCTGTGACAGGCTGCGTGTGCTTCTTCCGCTACAAATTCCTTTTGTTCTTTGGCAAGGACGCCCCAGAGAGCACTCCATAAATCAGATGGGAAGTGGGGCCTGTCAGAGGGGTGATGTGCTTTCTAAAACCTGGTGGTGGATTGGCTCTGAGGCCAGGGGTGGCTTAGTCCTGCTGGAGGCCAGTGGCACCTCACCCCCTTGGCCACATCATCTCCCCCCGGGGCACAGAAGCACTGGGGTTTTCAGCCTGAACAAGACTACACAGAATTTCCTCAATCTCTAAGATGGCTGAGTACAGCAGAATCAAGTCTTTCTCATGATAACATGGGCTAGGGAGAAGCCTTCCAAGAGAAAGAAGCTACCTTGTAATGTACCTGGAAAGACGGGGGACCCTGAGAGTCAGACGTTTTACACAGAGATTTTCATACAAGGGAAAAAAGAAACAGGTTTATTTAATTTTTATTCTTTTTGTGCATGAGCCTCTAGAGTGAAAGAGAGATTATTTTCATTCTTTGTCCGCATTCTCTCTTTGCCCTCTTTATCTTTGTTTTCTCTTCCCTCCCTTCCTGTGTCTTCTACTTTTTGTGCTATTTTCACCTCCTCCTCTTCCCCCTCCTCCCTCTCACCTTTGCTTTTCCTCCTTGCCCTCTTTCATTCCTCCTCTGCTCCCTCCCTCCTTTCCTTCCTTCTTTCATTGTTTCTTTTATCTTTCCTCCTAGAGGTGTATTTAGTCCACCTGTGCCATTCTAAATGCACAATTGTGGGGATCAGTATTGTACGCAGCCCCATTCTCACACCCTGTGAGGTCAATGGATTGGGCCTTCGTGGGAAACCCTGGAAGTCTGCGGCCTCTGCAGGCACTCACTTGTTCCCTCATTTCTTTCATTCTGCAGTTGAGGAAAGGAAAGCTCAGAGAAGTTCTTGGTAATTTACTATTGGGGTAAAGCTAAAATTCAAACTCAAGCTTGGTTGATACTGGATCTTAAACCTCTCTCTCTGCCCGTGTCTGGCTAAGTGCAGAGGATACCAGGGCACGCTTACATTTCTCAGACAGTTGGGCACATGGCTTTCAGCACTGCCACTACCTACCATGCCCCTTTGAAATCTCAGGTCCAGTTCCCCATGGCAACAGCCAGGGAGCTGCACTGGTGGGTGTCTCAGGCCCGAACCCCACACTGGCTGAGGCATATCCAGGGTCCCTGACCGGCTGTCTGCTTCCTCCTCAGAGGTGGCTGATGGCCTGTGCTGTGTGCTCACCACACCCTGCCTGACACAAAGTACGGCTGCCCCAGCAGTGAGGGCCTCCAACTCACCTGTCACCTTGCGTCAGAAGACTGTGGACTGGAGGAGAATGTCCAGGTGAGTATGGGGGGTGTGTGTGTGTGTGTGTGCGTGTGTGTGTGTGCGTGTGTGTGTGTGTGTGCGCGTGCGTGTGTGTGTGTGCGCGCGTGCAAGTGCTCCGTGAACATGTGAGCACAAAACAGTATGTGTGCCTAGTACATGAAAACCATGGCCAGGGTCATTCAGCCCTGCTGAGACTAGAGGGTGAGCATCCCACACAAGCGTAGCCCAAGGGAATCCCTGGGTGCAGGGGCAGCCTCAGGCCTCACGATGTGTGTGGCAGCTCCCCATGTTTCTGCAAACATTTACTGAGTCCTTATTCTATGCTAGCAGTATACATTCTAGCTGAAATATACCACTTTTCTTTTTCTGATTGTTAGGATACTAGAAACTAACACATCCTGTGTAAATTTAATATTATTTAAAATCTACTCACAAAGCTTAAACACATCAGCAGAATCCTATAGTGACTTCTTTGTTTTTTCTAAGAGAAAAAAAAAATTTCATGGATTTGTTCTGTTTATTCCATTGTCAGCCTGTGAATTTTAAAGGATATCTGTAGTTCGGGATTTGTGGGTTATCTTAATAATTCAGTATCAATCCAGACATCCCACTGGCAAATCAAAGAAAATCAGAGATCAAAAGTATGCGAGACAGGAAGAAAACTACTCTTTCTTGTAAATAACAAAAGTTAATTTTTACTAAAATTTACAGTTGGAAGTATCAACCATCCAAGAAAAGAGCGGTTCAGGTGGGTTAAGTGATTTGTACAAGATCACATGGCCCACAAATGTAAGAACCAGAATTAAAATAATGGGTTAGAATAATTGCAGTTAGAGTAGTTAGAATAATAGGTAAGGGTAATAATTAGAATAAGTTAGGGCCAGGCACGGTGTCTCATGCCTGTAACCCCAGCACTTTGGGAAGCCAAAGTGGGCAGATCACCTGAAGTCAGGAGTTTGAGCCCAGCCTGGCCAACATGGTGAAACCCTGTCTCTACTCAAAATACAAAAAAGTAGCTGGGTGTGGTGGTGGATGCTTGTAATCCCAGCTACTCAGGAGGCTGAGGCGGGAGAATCACTTGAGACAGGGAGGCGGAGGTTGCAGTGAGCAGAGATTGCACCACTGCATTCCAGCCTGGGCAACAGAGCGAGACTCTATCTTAAAATAAATAAATAAAAATTATAATAAGTTAGAGAAATAGTCACCAGGATTTTTGTTTTTCTTTTCCTGCTGTTCTCATTTTCTTGCCCTTTATCCCCTCCTCTCTCTGTGACTCTCTTTTTTCCCTTTCTCTGCCCCCTTTTCTTCTGACCAACAGACTGCATGAGAACCCTGAGGGAACAGAGAACCCAATTGGGGTAGACGAATCCCTTTTCAGCTATGGCCTTCGAGAGAGCATAGCCTCTTACCTGTCCCTGACCAGTGAGGACAACACCTCCTTTGATCGAAAGAAGAAAAGTGTCTCCCTGATGTACAGTGGCAGCAAGAGAAAGAGCTCATTCTTCTCATCACCACCTTACTTTGAGGACTAGCCAAGAACAGACACAATGGTTCATGCCCAAAAGGAACAGAAGTTCCAACTATTGCCTGGGATCTTGCAAAAAGCAAGGTTCCCTGATCCCCGGGAACCTCACATATTTTAAAAGCCAAGAGAAGCCACACGGAGACTCAAATTCACATCTTCTCTATCCACATCGTGACCAAAGGAACCCCCCTCCCCGGTGTCTGATCAGGGCTGTGGCATCACGAAACATTGGATCATGACATGTCAGGCGATGCTTGGAAAAGCCCAGCATGTATGTATGCACACATTGTGTGTGTGGGAAGGACAAAGCCACTCGCACAAGAAAGTGCACCAGGACTGTTCTCCAAGGAACTGCACCTGTCCAGATAGTACTCTGAGGTCATTGGAGAGAACTTCTGCATGGGCAAGCCTGAGAGGGAGAGGAAACAAAAGCTGTGGCCTGGTAGAAGGTCTGGGTTTGCAGATGGGTGCCCTGAATGGAACTACTTTAACCAATCCATAGGGACCTCTGGTATGATTTCCTCTCTTTTTAAAGGAACTTCGTGACACTAAACATTAGCCCAAAGGACTTCTTAGCCTTCAAATGGGAGATACCTTTGGCCTGCTCCCGCACCAAAGCCATGTGGGTGGAAGTCAGATGGCCCCCCTGATTCTGCAGAGGGCCAGAAGAATGAGAGGAAGGCTGCTGGCAGGGAAATCAAGGGGACGAGCCTAGAACTGCACCAGCTTCCCTGATGTCTGCAGTCATGGCTTTGCAGCGCAGACAGAGCTTCTCTGAGATGCTGGGATTCTTGTCTGTATGAATGCATCAACTATTCATTTATTGCCTGAATAGGCATTGCATTAAGTCCTGTGTAAGGTGTCAGGCAAGCCAAAAAAAAAAAAAAAGATGCATAAGTCCCAACCCCCAACAGAGGTGTTCACAGTGTAGACAGGGAAAAAAAATGTATAAACAAATGTGTAAAAAGAGAAATCAGCTCATGGCTTAGGATGGAATTGGAGACAGGTGAGAGACACTCAGGAGCTCATTTTCCAGCTGCTCTTCAGAGTGGAAGGGCTGGCTGGATCGGGTAGGTAAGAATAGCTGGATTTTTTTTTTTTAAGAAATGGATGCAGTCTAAAGAATTAACTCACCCAGTACTTTATTCTAAGAAGGGTCTGGCATCCATATGAGGAAAAATGCTGAACTCCAGGAAAGATGGGGAGTTCAAGTGGATTAATGATGTCACGCATAATTTTAAGAGACAAGGGAGAAAACACAATGTATAGCCAGAGAAGGAGAAGCTGCCATGCAAATCCTGCTAGGAAAAGAGTGGGCTGCAGATGAATCTATGACTCATGTTTCCCGGTTTCAAAGGGATTCTGGGGAAGGAGGGGAACATGCTTGCAGTACCTCTCCCTGTCTGTCTGCTCACATAAGCATTCCGTCCATCTGAGCTCATCGTGCTAGTGGTATGTATATGTGCAGTTACACGACTTTCTGTATCATAGATTCCAGTGTGTTTATACAAGGAGACATCCGTGGTTTCCCCAACAATTCCAAAAGGCTATTTCAAAGGAACCAGCCAACGTATGAGAAATGAATGTAACACTGTGGATATTGACTTCCCGCATAAGGCAGGTGACCCCCTGAACTCCAGATGTCTGCACAGCATCTTATGTTCTTATGTACTGTTTTCTGTTGTGAAGAATGTGATTGGAATGTTTGGGGAGCACCCAGAGGGATTTCTAAATGGGAAGCATTACACTTTGCTAAATCATGTATTTATTCCTGATTAAAACAAACCTAATAAATATTTAACCTTTAGCACATAGGGAGAGTTTCTGGGTTGAGGGGGATGGGTGCTTCATTCAGAAGCTCTGAGGGTTTCAAATTCTCAAATAAATGTACAACTAGAGAGAGAGGAGCAAAGATCACCCAGAGAAACCTGGTGCCAGTTAGCAGCTCAGCATCTTCTTTAGGTGTGGCCTTAAGAAAAACCAGAGTGTATGACTCTGGGGGGTGTCTCATGAAACTTGAAGATGGGTCTAAGGGATTGAAGGAAAGACCAAATTCTGAACGATTGTTATAAAAACGTCTCGCCTAGATTTTCTGCACATTACTTGTGATAGCTGTGCTATTCATTCTTCCAAGAATTTCTTTCTGCAGATATTTCTGGACACCTACTAAATAGACACTGCTCAGGGACTGGGACTGTAGCAATGAAAACCAGATGAGGTCTCTGATATCATGGAGTTTGACATCATAAATAAACAAGATGCTTGGTAATGATGGTGAGCGCAGGCTCCAAGCAGTCACCTGGCAGGCAGGGCATCCTTCAGGTCCAGGCTTAGGAAAGGCCTCCAAGCAGAGGCAATGTTTGGGCTGAGGCCTGAAAGGTGAGCAGCAAACAGCCATGTAAAGATCTAGGAAGTGTATGGAGTCCGCAGGAATAATGGGGCAATTCCTGCAGGCAGGAGGAGCAAGACTGCATGCTGAAGGAGCTAAAAGAAGGCAGGGTGGCCAGACTGAGGGAGCTAGGGAAGCACGGAATGTGAGTAGGAGGTATCAGGAAGGTCCTGCAGGGCCCTAGAGGGTAGGGGGTGGCATAGGGTCAGTTCTAGGAGACATGAGGAGCCACTGAAAGGATCCAAGTTGGGATAAGATCATTTCACTGGTATGTTTGAAAGATCATGCTGTGTGGAGGACACATTTTTAAAATTCCAGCGTTGTCTATTGACACACAAAGTTTGAAAATAAATGGGCAAAAAATTTTAATGCAAAATTAAAATTTTAATGCAAAAATTTTTAATGCAAAAATGAATGAAAGGAAAACCTATGGTCCCATTTTTGAGACAAAATGGGACTTAAGGTGAAAATAAATTACATAATGGCAAATAGAGATGTGCAAAAGGAACAAGATATTAAGAAGAAAAAAATGATTGCAACCTGTGTTAATGGGATGATATAGTTTCAGAATATATTAAGCAACTGCAACAGGGACAAATAGATAAATCCATAATTTTACTTGGAGATTTTAACATACAAATCTCAGAAACTAATTCAGTAAGCAAAGATAAATAAATACATAAATAGGTAGATAGATTTTGATAACACTATATAACTTTTCTGCCAACAAATGGATAATGTATTAGGTCACAGAGAAAGTACTAATGAATTTCAGAGTCAGCATCTTCCAACTCATGCTCTACGATAATAAAGTAATAAAATTGGAAATCAAATTCCAAAGTGATGAATAAAAATTTAAAAATTCTAGGGATCTAAAGTCTAAAAAAAATCCTTAGGTTAAGAAGAAAATAATGCAACAAATAAAACATTATAAATAAATGACAGATTGCTACTTTTCAAAATTTCATGGCTGTAGCTGATAAAATAGTCAAAGGTAAATTATTGCTTGAAATAAATTGATCAGGAAACAAAGAATGAAAGCGATGAGTTTAACTTTCAACTTAAGAAGCTAAAGGGACAATAGATAGCCAAAGAAACGTGAAGAAGGTAGAAGATAATATAAGACATCAGTGAAATAGACTTCTGAAAACACAGCCATAGAGATTTTAAAAAGCAAAATATTGTTTAAGTAGACTAATGTGATAAAAATATGAACAAGCATGATCAAGAAAGGTGAAGAAGAACAAAAGCAAATCAAATGCAGTTCTTCTTGTAACCATACCTGAAGAGGGATTGTGCCCCTTGCCAGCAAAGCCCTAAGATGGCAGGTGTGGTCCTCCTTCCTCCCCATCCCTTCCCTACTATCTGGAACCCCTGGCAGCCTAAACTCAACCATGCAGATGAGGAAGGCCTTAAGAAATAGCAGAGAAATATCCAGAAGAAACCAGAGCCCTGAGTGATCCAGAGACACCTGGACTGCCTACCTTGGCAGATGTTATGAGAGAGAGAGAAAGGGAAAAAAAAAAAAAGGAACTTATTTATCCACTAAACTGCTTTAGTACTGGGTCTCCTTCTTATATCAACTGAGCATTTTGCTTCAATAGGTATAGAAATAAACCTGCTATTATTTGCAGAATAATGAGGAAACTTCATAGAAAACCCAAAGAAACCGACAGGCAAAGCATTAGATGTGACAAAACAGCTCAGCAAATGGCTGAATCCACTTATTTCCTAACACTAGTATTTTCAACCTGGAAAATACAATAGAAAAGAAGACAGCATCAACAATACCAACCAGATGACGGTATGTGTGGGAACTTACCTCACAATGATTTCACAAAACTTTTATTAAAAAATGTTCAAAACTGCATGAAAGACCTAACAAGGCAAAAATACTACGTTCACGGTTACAGTGTTTACCTGATTCGTGAATGCAAGGCTTAACATCATTACAATGTAGATTTTTTTTTTTTCTGAAATTAATGACCAAGTCTATGTCACTCAAACTCCCAGCAAAAATATTAGAATAAAACCTCAATAAACTTATTCTAAAATATATACAGAAGCATCAAAACTCATGAATACCTTGGTGAATTCTGAATAGACAAGCATAGCATGCTCATACTATGAGATATACTGCAAAAACAATAGAGAACAGTGTTCTGAGCCCAAACCACCATCTCTCTCTCATCACTTTAGTGGACCTCAGCACTGTCTCTGAACCAAGTGCTGTGCTAAGTGTTAAGGAAACACTAAAAGCATGAAACTCACATAAGTTTTCAAGCACCTAGTCATAGTAGAATTGGGATGAGAGATGTTAGAAAAATAACAAGCATGTAAAATAAGGCACAGTTCCTAAGAATTGCTACATATAAGTGTTTTCACTAAGGTGAGATTCTTTCCTTCTATTTCAAGAGACGAGGAAAGACTTGGAGGCTTCACTTCAGCTGAGTCCTGAAGGACAGCAGGAACTTTCCAGGTGGATACTGGATATGCTGAACACAGAACAGAGACAAAAAGGCCTGGAGGAAGGCACGGCATTTCCTCAAAGGGGTGATAGTTAGTGAGCCTGGAGTGTAGGATTCATGCAGGATTCATGCAGGAATGGAGTAAAAAACAAGACCAGAAAATTTAGCTCGAGGCTGATTCCTGAGGCCAGGAGTTCACCCTGAGGAATGCACACTTGGGGCGCTGTCATAGAACAGCAAGGGAAATGTTTTCTACGTTCGTGAATCATACCACAGAGGACATGACTTCCCTGTCTTAAGACTGTGCAGGGACAGAGCCACAGGATGCATGTTTGCAACAAGTCATCCTTCATCTTCCAACCCAGCCCCAGAACGGGTGAAATACCCTAGGACATACTTCTGTCTGGAGTTGCCTTCCCTTGGCAAGGGAAGAGGGAAGAAGGAGCTTGATTTCTTGAGTTCCTATGTTGTGCAGGACACTTTGCAAACCATCAGTCCTGACAATATCTCGAGACCTTGGGAAACAGAATTCATCACACTGATTTAATTTGATAGGTGAAGAATATAAGGTGAAGTGTTTTCTCCAAGACTAGGATCTTCATGCAGGCCTATCTGATCTTAGGCTTCGGCTCTTTATCTTACACCTTGAGACCCCAGGAGAGTCCCAAATTCCTGGAGAGGCAGCATCATAGAGTGGGGAAACACAGGACTTGGCTTTAGGTTCTAGTCCTTAACACAGCTTCTTCCTTGCTGTGTGTTCTTTGGTAGGTCACTAAATCTCTCTGAACCTCAGATTTCTTATCTCTAGATTGAAAAATAAAATAAAGTCCCCATGCCAATCAGTCAAGGAGTTGGTAAGATAAGACACTGAAAGTGCTGCGGTCTCAGATGTGCTGAATGAATACAGGTTATTCATTGTCATCACAGGCTTTCCCTTGACCAATGTTTCAACAGTTCTGGCCCCAAGATTTGCAGAGAGACTTAAGATTTTATCCTAGAATAAACTGCCAACTCATATTCATTTCCCCAAACATCTGTTGATAAAGAACGCATTTAATATATTGAAGTATTTTAGTTCTCTCAATTCCAAATAATTTCACATGCATCCCAAGGATTGCTGGAAGCAGTTGTAAAAGCTGCTTCCAAATGACTAAAACAGATGGAAGGGTTTATTTTTAAATACACTGCCATTTGTTAAAGCAGATTAGTATTTGAAATTCCCCAAACACCTAAACCCTCAAAAAGAAAAATCTGCTTTCTGAGCCCATTGGAAGATATTTTTGGCATCTCCTGGGTCCTAATGAGTGTCTGGTTTCTGAAAGGACCCTGGAGAAATCTCTCCAGGATCAATTCAATGCAGGATGGTTTGTTTTCAACACCAGGAACTGAAAGATGTTTGTGCTCAGTTCTCCTGCCACTGAGATGGATCAACTTCAGAGGGACAGATTGCAGAAAACTGGAATCAAAGGACAAGACTCACAAGAAAGGGATGGAAGGAGGGAGCTGGTGTATCCTGTGGGTCCCTGGGCCCCTGAGAGTAACAGCTGAATCCTCCCCCAGTCATCTGCTCATTGCTGCCCCCAAATAATTACAGCACATCCACGGGCTCTAAGATGTGCTGTGTGGGGGTGCTCGGGGTCCCATGGAGAGCAAGGCACACCCAGCCCCTGCTCGGCTGGAGCTTGCAGTCTTGTGAGGCAGCAGCTTTGGCACTAAGAGCAATTACTTACTGTTGGAAATCCTGGTAAATGCTGCATAGGAGATGTACAGGCAGCACAAGCCATGTAAAAAGGGCTCAGTTCTAGGCTGAAAAGTCAGGAAGGCTTCTCTAAAGAAAAAGTAGGGAAGGCAAAGAGGGGGATGGGGAAAACTGTTCCATGCAAAGGAAACTGCCTGTATGGGCCAGAACAGAGCATGGACTCCAAGGAACATGAAAGGCTCCTGTGGCTGATG